CCGACCGAACATCCCAACCACCACCAAACCTTCGATCACGACCACCGTCTACGCCACCACCGCGTCCAGCAGCACCAACCCAAGCCAACCTCGGTGCACCATAACGACCGAACCGGGGAACCGACTATTCCACCCACACGGCCTAAACGTCCTAATATTTCCCTCACCGACCAGACTGTGTCAGTTCACTGGTACAAAACAGGTTTACTTGTTAAATCGCTCGTTCGACTGTCTTCACTCACACAGGCAATCAGACGAGCAATTCGCATTTCTGAGCCTACTTTCATATAAGAAACCCGCGTTTCACGGTGTCTTAACCACCCAACAGAAGGAATCTTGCTTCCACATTCGGATAGCTAAGTGTTTCGATACAACCATCACCAGTACGCACCACGTACTGTAACCCATATAACGCCCGATATTCCGTCAATCTCCAAACTTATCCAAAATGAGTCACGAATCCGAGTCCCACGTGAAAATTTCGCGAACCATCTACCGGGGTGTTTCACCCAGCACGACCCGATTGGAGGTAAGTCTCCGTCCAAATCTACAAGTTGACAACTCTTTTCACGTTTGTGTTATATTGAGAACGTTGTGTGTATATACGTGAGCATGCTTTGTGGTGATTGTCTCTCTGTCCACACCCGACGATGTTCCATGTCTGCTTTGTGATTTCAGAGCCGAGTTCGTGAGTTGGAAGATATGCTTGATTTGGAACGAGATGCCCGAGTCCGTGTAAGTTAACCTCTGCGACCAGTAAACTTTTTCAATTTCGAAAATATCTGAAACGGTTGTGCCGTGTTTGATTTGCAATCTATAATTTATTTTGCCTTCAGTACGCATGCATTCTCAGCGAATTCGATTTCGAATTATCGCAAGTACTTACACCCAATGGCCTGTTTCCCTAGAATAGCAAGACCCATAGTGCTGGTCATGAAGTTTTCTACCATAAATTAAACCATATTATTGGAAAGTTCTTCCATTTAACGGAAGTTATTTTCACGTTGGCATTATGCAAATCAGTATAGTGAATAGCTCAACTTCTAACAGAAATAACGATTGTTAGACAAATTATTTTTGGTATGCGTACAAAAAAGAACCTATAATGAATAGGTTACGTGATACGAAAAAGTCGCTACTGAGAGGAAAGTACCATTTTTAGGATTTTCTCTCTCTAGCCGACCGATTATTCACTACTGTCCTATCATACTCTTGATTTCAGGCCGAACGTCACGCTGCTGATATGAGCTTCCAGATCGATGCCTTATCCGAACGTCTAGATGAAGCCGGTGGTAGCTCAAGCCAAACAGTAAGTATCGAAATGCTTATTGATCATTTTTAAGCCATGATGCAATATTTTTGGACATCCAGTAGTGTCGTTCACCGTGATAGTGTGATACAGGGATATGTCGTGACGTAGAATAGTCACATGTCATCAGTCTCAAATTTTATTTGAACTGACTGATATCCGGTCATTAAGTCTTCAAAAAGTTACGCTTAACTCTATTAGCAATAGTTGATTAGGTTGTGAAATGGAACAGTTGTGGTTAAATGATTTCGGTTTGTCTGAATATATCAATATCCGATCAACTGGATTGATCAACTTGGACGATGGACAACATTATCGCACGGAACTGTGTGATAATCCAAGTGGAACACTACCTGCCATGTCTATTCACCAATGGTTTCAGGCCACTTATGGTAATCATCAGTTGATAACTGTTGAAAAATAATGGGTGGTGGCAAAATTGTTGTCACTAAAAACAACTCGGAGATACAGTTGACCCGGTGAGATTTCCGTCGACTCACCCGATTTGGATATTTATTTTCTTCAGGGCAGAGTTGACTAATTGATATTACTGCCCCATGAATCCTTCTTTTACAAAACTGGATTGCAGCACACCCTAGGCCAAAGTGAAGAAATTAAAACACGCTGTTCAAATAGGTTTGAGATAACAATCCAATCAGCAGTGCACGATAGGCTAATGTACACAGTTTCAGTCTTCAAGTGTGAGTGCACTGGATAATAAACCCCCGCATAACTGAGTTTCTGATGAAGTAACCGCATGGGCAGCCTCACTGATTCTTTTCGTGAATTAGTTTCTACTATTTAACTAGTATTGGATCCAAACCCTTGTTAGCTTCTCTTATTCGCATATAGAACCACTGAATCAATCGGGTATTTGGTCTTTCTGTACCTGGACTTAAACCGGTCAGAATTATCCCAAAGTTATTAACATGAAGTGACAGAGGTGGTGGTATACATTTCATGCAATCTTGTTCAGTTGTTGCTCAGTGCCTAGTTTTGAAATCTCTTCGTTTAGCAAAGGTAATGAATCAGTATCCTCGAGAGCCCAAAATAACCATATTTTAAGAAATTCAGGTTGACCTATTCGTTTTATCACAGCCGCTTGCCAATTATCGATTAATCGATCGTGGATAATTTTGACCATTCTTTACTGTTCACATCCGTAAAAGCTAAAAATTAGGAAATCCGCTTCGGCCTTTTATAACTTGATTTAAGATCTCGGGATGACCGCTACATCGGTGAATGTATGCTTTCAGATTCTGCTACATGTGTTTTGATCAGATTCAAGTTGTCACCAGCACCCCACCCTCAGCTGTGCTGTCTTGGGTTGGTCATTTTGATAGGACTGAGGTCCGTTGTGGAGTCAACCTTGATCCTTGTCCATCGCACGCTTCCAAGTCCCGTTGCCCTCGAGCAAGGCCAATCCGACATATTCCCTTAGCTGATGATCGTGGCAAGTATGTGGATCAATGGTTACCGTGTGCTGCGTGCCACACGAGTGCACGGCATTTTCGGGACACACTGGATCTAACCGCGCATGTCCACACAGATACACACACACACAGATGCACATGCACACTTCGGATGGTGGATGGTAAACAGTATGTGAATTATCCTACACATACACGCACGCACGCACGCACGCAAGCACACATACGCGGGCAGAAGGGCGTGAATGCACGGATATGGGTGTACACACACACATCCAAGGTAGGAAACAGGCCGCGATCCGATCGGGCTCGATCGACCATATATGGACAGTGTTGAATACAGTGATACGCTTTGCGTATCGGTCGATGGGACGATGCAGCAAGGATGCACACCGCCTACGCAAAACAAACTACAACTGAGCCAAAAATATACCAAACAGATCACAGTAGCATGGACACGAGCACGCTAACATCCCAAACGTCCCCTTAAAGTGCGTCCGGCAGCAATGCTGGCTGGCACATCAGTCAACCAGACAACCTGTGTTAGGATACAAATCTGTGCCGTATTGTGCGTGTGTGGGTGTTGTAGCGTTCAAATGTAACGCTTATCCCAAAACATTCCGCGCCTACCCGATGGCAGTAAGAATAGCAAGGAATAGGAACACAACGCGACACTACGGGTCATTCCACTCATTGTTTTAAAAGGTCAATGCTATGAGTGCATTACATGACACTGATTTTCATTTATATTCGACATTTTACACGGGCCGGTACAGACACACCCGGCCGGTTGTGCACTACTGATTGGAAAACCATCCGAGGCATAAATGCCAGATGACTTGTCCTGGTTGGCATTACTGATTTCTAGGTATATCACAGTCAGTTTTATCTACGCGATGCCGGAAACCAATAACGACTTGCCAGGTAAGTAATGAACTTCCAAATGGATATTGGTAGTACTCAGTTGTTCCGTTCAAAACAATAGTCACTGGTTTTGGGGGATACTCCGGCAACTTCCGTCCATCCGATTATACCCTCATTGGTGTACAACTAAGGATCCAACTAGAGCCTGATGGGTGCATTATGGTATGTCTGAGATAATGTTCGGAAATGCCGACTGTGAAAAATATTCAGAATTCTACGCTATTCCGTTTATCTGTTTTTTTTTCATATAGCATGAACTTCTTAAACGACGTGAGATGGAAATCAACAAACTGCGCAAAGATTTGGAGAATTCTAACGCCGCCCTCGAACTTGCTGAGACCTCAATGCGTCGTCGTCACCAGAATGCCCTGAATGAGTTGGCAGCCGAAGTCGAGAATCTGCAAAAGCAGAAGGGCAAGTAAGTTGATCGCAACTAAATAACTCACTCATTCAAACGACTGAAAATGCTGTCATTCGGTTTCATCAAACAACTTGATTAGTTTGGAAATTGAATTAGGGATACCACTGATCATTTTGTATCCTTTTTAGGGCCGAGAAGGACAAGAATAGCCTTATCATGGAAGTCGACAACGTTTTGGGTCAACTCGACGGCGCCCTGAAAGCCAAGGTGGGTTATAAATTCGCCTTGTAACAAATGGAAATTTTTTATGACATTCGGTTTCTGAATTGCAGTTAACACCATAATCATAGCTGCAACCTTAATAATATCACAGGAAAAAAACTAAACTTCATTCAACCTGATCACCCTTATTTCTGTCCCCACTTCACAACACAGCAATCGGCCGAATCGAAATTGGAAGGCTTGGATAGCCAACTGTCGCGCTTGAAGTCTCTCACCGATGACTTGCAACGCCAACTGACCGAACTGAATGCAGCCAAATCTCGTCTGACCTCGGAGAACTTTGAACTGTTGCACGTCAACCAGGAATATGAAGCTCAGGTGTTGAACCTGTCGAAAGCCAAATCCGCTTTGGAAAGCAATGTTGAGGATCTGAAACGCTCCTTGGATGATGAGGCCAAGGTATGGTTCAGGAATTTTTTTTCCGCAAACTTTCATTCATACCTAACGATGTACATAACGATCCCCGGTAGAACTATCGGCCATCCTAACCAGTTTGGTGGTTTATCCACTCTATTATCTTCAGAACCGATTCCAACTTCAAGCTCAACTGACTTCCTTGCAAATGGATTATGACAATTTGCAAGCCAAATACGACGAGGAGAGCGAAGAAGCTAGCAATCTACGCAACCAGGTGTCCAAATTCAATGCAGATATGGCCGCACTGAAATCCAAATTCGAGCGTGAACTGATGGCCAAGACCGAGGAATACGAAGAACTGAAGTAAGTGGTGGAATTTGCCTTGATTTCGTTTGGAGAGATGTCATTTGTATTCATATTTAAGAGACATGCTCTAAATTATTAAAAATGTCATATTTAATACGGTTTATTGTGAACTTCTCCCAGACGCAAACTCACTCTGCGCATCACCGAATTGGAAGACACAGCTGAACGCGAACGCGCTCGTGCAGCTAACTTGGAGAAGATCAAGACCAAACTCACCATCGAGATCAAGGACTTGCAGGCGGAAGTTGACAACGTAAGTTTTGCAAATATCAGGTGAACAAATGAAAAACAATGGTCTTTGAAACAAATTTGTCTTTTCCCAACTGTGAAATCTTACTCAGCTAACAAGCTGCCAACTTTCGTCCTTCTGCAGCTCTCTGCCGAAAATGCTGAACTGGTCCATCGTGCCAAAGCCGCCGAAAACTTGGCCAACGAACTGCAACGCCGTGTCGATGAACTGACCATTGAAGTGAACAACCTGCACTCTCAGAACAGCGCCTTGGAGGCCGAAAACATGCGACTGAAGAGCCAAGTAAACGACCTGACCGACAAAATCGCCAACTTGGATCGTGAGAACCGACAACTGTCTGGTAAGCAGTTGGCAATTTTGGTTATTATCCGTCCGTCTTTTGTCAACTTACAGCAAAAACGCCACATGAACCAAATATGCCAAAATCATGATATGTGAAATATCCAGTAACACGAATCCTCTTGATCGTTTCTCTGTGGAAACTCATCCACGGTTACTAAATATGACTATCCCATTTCATTCTGCAGATCAAGTTAAAGAGCTCAAATCGACCCTGCGTGATGCCAATCGCCGCTTGACTGATTTGGAGGCTCTCCGCTCGCAACTTGAGGCTGAACGTGACAACTTGGCTTCTGCTTTGCATGATGCTGAGGAGGCTTTGCGTGAGATGGATCAGAAATACCAGGCTAGCCAGGCTGCCTTGAACCACCTCAAATCGGAAATGGAACAGCGACTGCGCGAGAAAGATGACGAACTGGAGGCTCTGCGGTGAGTTCCTTACCTGCATACTCGAATGATCATGCTGATCACACTACTCACATTATGCAGTAGGTAGAATAGGTTTAATGAAAACATGATGCATCCGTTCTGAAAACTGTTTCCAATCGCACGCCTTTCGTCATTCCTATTTCCGTTTGCCCTAATAGCAAGAGCACCACTCGCACCATTGAAGAACTAACCGTGACCATTACCGAGATGGAAGTGAAATACAAATCCGAGCTGTCTCGATTGAAGAAGCGTTACGAAGCCAACATTGCGGAGCTCGAAATGCAACTGGATGCTGCAAACAAGGCTAACGCTAACTTGATGAAGGAGAACAAGACTCTTGCCCAACGCGTCAAGGATCTTGAGGCTTTCTTGGACGAGGAGCGCCGTTTGCGAGAAGCAGCTGAAAGCAACCTTCAGGTAAGCAAAAACACGACAGATATAAGGCATTTCATGAGATGGCATTAGTTTGGGATCGAATGTAATGTGGTAAATTTTTACCTTACTTTCAATAATTAGGCAAGTGAACGCAAACGCATTCAATTGGCCAGTGAAGTTGAAGAGCTCCGTGGTGCTTTGGAGGCTTCCGATCGTGCCCGAAAACATGCTGAAAACGAAATGTCTGAGGCTCAAGCCCGTGTGAGTGAACTGACAATGCAAGTAAATACCCTTACAAACGATAAACGCCGTCTGGAAGGTGACATTGGAGTGATGCAAGCCGACATGGACGAAGCAATTAATGCAAAACAGGTGAGATCTCACAACAAAAATGCAGTTTACATGTGTACAATCAAGTTTGCTACCACATTTGATTAAAAAGATGCTCTCTGCCTTTTCCCATTTACGGTTTAGGCTGCTGAAGATCGTGCCACCCGTTTGAACACTGAAGTTCTGCGCCTCGCTGACGAACTCCGCCAGGAACAGGAGAACTACAAACATGCTGAAGCATTGCGAAAGCAATTGGAAATCGAGATCCGTGAGATCACTGTCAAATTGGAAGAGGCTGAGGCTTTCTCTGCTCGCGAAGGACGACGCATGGTGCAAAAACTGCAGGTAGGTGTGGAAAACAACTAGGTGTGAAAACACAGGCAACTCTATCCCCGTAAAGTTTGTTTTTATTTTAGCTTAGTTCACGTTGTGAGAACCCCTAATCCACACTTCATCGCACTCTACCTCTATCCAATCGTCATCTAGGCCCGTGTGCGTGAATTGGAGGCTGAATTCGATGGTGAATCTCGTCGCTGCAAGGAAGCATTGGCATCAGCCCGCAAGTTCGAACGCCAATACCGAGAACTGCAAACCCAAGCTGAGGATGACCGACGCATGGTTCTTGAATTGCAAGACCTCTTGGATAAGACTCAGATCAAGATGAAGGCCTACAAGCGTCAGTTGGAAGAAGCCGTAAGTACTGTTCTCTATGGGCAAAATGTGTAACCTGTTTCCTCCTTCGATCTTCGTGAATAGACAATAGCTAGATTGAAGCGTAAGAGTGGAGAATTTGCTCACGTTTATGTCTGTAGTTTTTGTGGATGGCAAACGATTAGGTAGAACGCAATCGCCCAGCTGTGTGTAGGGTTTTTTACTAATATTCCATTGAAGAGGTGTTAAGGTTTTTCGGCTCTTAGTAGATACAGCATAGGTGTCCCTCGTCAAAATTCGTGCAGTGGGATATTGGAAGTATAGATTCACTTGGATAGATGGTACTTGGCTTATGGCTGTCTAATGAAATAGTACTTAGTACCTGTACATCGAAGAAAGTTCATACAGAGTAATTTATTCAAGTTTTCTTTGTTTCACTGGTATATATTTTACTGAAGAATGATCGATTGGTTTTTCACACTCCTTGCAGGAGGAAGTGTCTCAGATCACCATGAACAAATACCGCAAAGCACAGCAACAGATCGAAGAGGCGGAACACCGTGCAGATATGGCCGAACGCACTGTCACCGTACGTCGTCTTGGTCCCGGTGGTCGCGCTGGATCCGTGGTTCGTGAACTTTCCGTTGTGACCAGCCGTGGTGCGCGAGCAACCAGCATGATGTAAAGATTTGTCTCTACCGAAATCCAGACCCTTTCCAACTCCGAATTCTGCCCTGCCTCGCCAACTTACCCCACTGAACTCCTTTATCCGCCTGAATTAAACACACAACTTTTGACTCATCAAATGCTGTTCATTTCCGAACTGCTTCTTCAACCTTTCATCTAAGCGGACAATCAGTGTCTTTGTGTTAGACTATTCCTCAGAACCATACACACACAAACATAGCACAATTACATGATAATGTCTCGGGCGAACTTTCATTTGGTTGGATGGATGGACACCGTAACGCGATCAACTTTCTATACATCATCTGAAATCGAATACACGATTTCGATGACTGGTCAAATCACCCTTTCCTTTCTCTCCACATTATCGGCAAGAAACACATCGGTCGCCTTATTCGCATTTCGACGTTCTGGTTAGCTGTTCTTGTTACTACTCGTGAGTGGACACGAGTATGTCTCAGTACCCATCCTTTCCAAAACGTGCCCACCTGTTTACATACCCACGAATACGCGTGAAAACCAACACAATTCACACCACATTCTCTTTGTGCTGTTATAATGACATCTAGCTTAGGATACTGAATTTCCTCACATCCCAAAACATAAAAGTATGTCACAGACAGAGAAGACAAACGTCCCTCCTGATTTGCCCAGACGACCGTAACCAGGTGAATGTATGGACTTTGAACCGGTCAGATCAAGATTCAAGTGACTCACCAACTTAAGCTATATGCACAAAGAAGTTACCTGCCAATACATACTCACAATTTCACACGTCCAATCACTCACACACAATTACCGAACTACAACTGACACTACTATGCAAAATGTTCTTTGAGGGTTTCCCTCGAAAACCGATGTGACGATCGATAGACAGTGATCTACTGTCATTTTATCTTCATTGCTTTTGCCGTTTTGTGCGCCTAATCTCTTGTTTTTTGTTTCGATCAAAATAGGTCCGCATGTGGACTCATGGTCATGAGGAATATGGGAGAGATAAAATAGAAAATTATGGACTCTGTAAGGTCAAGCTCCGAGCATATGACCTTCCTTCCACAAGTGTTGACAATGCGCAAAAGGGCGCTATGTTCATGCCCCGCGGCATAACCCTGTCAACACGGAACTGGCTCAATGCCATCGATGTGTGCTGATTGCACGCACACACACCTCACACGTTCTCCCATCCTCTGTCTCCCTCCGAAATCCCTTTGAATCCCCTGTATTTTGAAATCTCTCTGTCTGTCCCTACCTGTAATTGCATTTTCCAAAGGCACTGATTCACTAGTTCTTCTTTGACTCTCCCTCTCTTACGGACTCTGTCAACCACCCACCCTCCCTGGGCCCGTTCCATTAAGGTGTCTGGATTTTGTGTTCTTCCGAGTTTTGTCTTGAAGCCCCAATTGTTAGCGCTCTTTAAACACTTTGCGACCGGAGACTGAAGACGAAGACATATGCAACCAAAGGTAGTCTGTTCTTTGAAGAGGTCCCCTCTGCAAACACTTTGGCTCTGCATACAAAACTACGACAATTACTATTTATCATAAACCGATCAATACTGATACGATTACATGTTTGTTCTCCTTTTCCTTATCTGGTACGAATTGTTTTGAATTGGAAACGGCGTGTAACATAGAAATGTTTATCCGATCACAATGGCTAGTTTCATTTCTTGCAGTGGCACTATTTGAGTCATTACTAGTAGTTAGTCCTTATCTGTTTGACTGCCGATGGAGAACACGAACGATCCAAACGATCGGTATTGATGATCAGCGCAAACTAGTGACACATTCTTCCTTCAGCTGGTTATCTNNATCGTCACTGTGGATACGAATCCGAACGAAAATGAATCAGTTACGCGATGTGCATAATAAACAACAGCTCAGATGAATTTTGTACCAAAACTCATAGTTGAAAGCTTCCGAGAAAGTACAATTTAGGATGATTTTGCTAGTTCAGCCACCTCACAAAATGCCTATACAAAGCTAAATGGTCTAGTTACCCGTCATTTGCTGTAGTGTATTGATTGAATCCCAATCTGAAGGAAGATTCCAGTTGTACGAATATCAGTTAAGCTCGTACTGTGTGAAACAGTAGTATCCAGTTCAACGTGAAACAGTTAGCCAAAAAATAATTCGCAGGTTTAGGATTTAATAAACCGGTGAAAGTATTTGAACCTGACTAACGCGGAGCGGCTTACAAAAAAAATACTCCATGGCATTATTGATAGCTCTCCCTCATCCTCGTAAAAAGCGTATACGATTAGACCCAGGAACAACAATCATTCTAACAAACATTCACACTTCTAACTTCAGGTGCCCACTTTTACTTAAACCTAGATCCAATTAACTTTTTGTGTTGAATTAGTTTAAAGCTATTGGACAACTGAGAACAGTAAACTGTACTTTCAAGTGAGTAATGGAAGATTTGATTCATTTTAAAGGGTGAATTCGTCGTGTATATAGCAAATGAAGCGTAAGCTGAAAAGCTAGGAAGCAATGGATTGCTGTTTCGACCTGGTTGGGTCCCATCAGCAGTGCAAATCCATCGACCCAACAGTCGATCGAACCCGGGACCTAACAGGCAGACGGGAGCGTGTTGCCCACTCGACAAAAGGTAACTGATCAGTTGGGTCGATGGATTCGCACTGCTCAGAAACTCAGCCAGGTCGAAACCCTTGTCCATTGCTTCCTAGCCTTTAAGCTCACGCTTCATTTGCTATATACACGACGAATTCATCTTTGAAACTGTACACAAGTCCGAAAGCAAACAACCGTTTTCGAGTGATTCATAATCTTACCCGTAAAGATCATACAAGGGTTTGTTGTTAATGGGGTCACATTTTCACGCTGGGTCGAAAGGTCATTTGGGATAGGGAGAGGGGCGGAATGGGGTTAGCCCTATATATCTGTGGTCGGGTGAGATTGATTGTGATTGGAGTGGTGGTGACCTGAGCATGGGTAATATACAGTCAATCTCAAGCTATGTCGCACCCCTGAGAAGTCCCATTTTCCAATATCTTCCCACTTTTTTCCAAAACCCCTTCAATATGTCGTAGTTCTTGATACGTGCTCAATTGGTCGTTGACCGATTTTCGGGACAACCGTTGACCTTCCACCCTGAAATGTCGCACTCAACCAATGGTGTTGCACCTGGTGTCACGCACACATGGAACTGCTCACTGATTGAATAATCATTGCGAGGAAGTCACACCGATATAAGTGATATAAGTGATCGGAGACAGTGTCATTTGACGTCAAAATGTTCAAGGGCCTATTGATCAGNGAGAAGCAGAATGTGTTGGAAATGCTGAAGCAGCCAGGTGCCACTCAGAGCTCCGTAGCCAAATCAATTAAAATTTCACCAAAAACTATCCACTATGTTGTATCCCATCGAACGACTATCGGGGAATTTTTGAACGCTGGAGCATCTGAGGAAGGATGCCCCCTGAAAACCAACGGAAAGTTCAAGGTAGTGAATGAGGCAACTTTGGCTTGGTTTAAGGCTNGCTCTGAGGGAAAAGCACGGAGAGTTCCCCATGGCGGAGAGCATCGTACGTAAGAAGGCAATCCAGATAGCACAAAGATTGTATCATAATGGCTTCAAGGCTTCCAAAGGTTGATTTCGCTGTTGGTCTGACCGATATGGTATTCAATCGTTCAAAGTAAGAAACAAGCAACTCATGTGCACTACTTTATGGGTCTGTGAAAAACGTTTAGCAGTACCACGTGATGCAGTGGACGAGTTTCGAGCGGGGTTACCGCAGTTGATACATGGATAGACTGACTGTGATATTTTCAATGTAGATGAAACAGCTTTGTATTACAGGCAGCTTCTATTAGGAACATTAAGACTGAAAAGAAAGACAGTTTCTGGGCCCAAGAAATCCAAAGAGAGGGTCATGTTACTGTTTTGTGGGAGCATGACTGACGAAAATCCATCACCGTTGGTGATTGTAAAGTTTCAAAATCCACGATACCTCCGAGGTATAGATAGAAAAAGCCTTCTATGGATTTACAGTTATTCAAAAATACATGGATGACTTCTACGTTATTTCCCAGTTGGCTGTCCAATGTCAACCGCAAAATGGTTTCTCAAAGGCGCTCTATTTTACTATTTATGGACAACGCTACATGGCATAACCAAGCCCTAATATTCTCCAACGTCAAATTGGTATGGCTGATTCCGAACTGTATTTGTATTTGTATTTGTATAGACTTTTGCGGGAACAGAATGTTCGCATTTCAGTCAAAAATTTACACATATCACCAATAGAAGGAAAGATACAAGTAAAATATTTAGCCTTTAAGGTTAGTGAGAAATTTTGAGGAAGCGCGCTCTCGGTTAACAAGGATTCTGGCAAGATAGGGAACTTGGGAATTCCCGTAGAGACTCATGCGAGAGGGTAATAATCGATAAGAAGAACGTGTCGACGTATGAGAGCAGCACATAGATAAATCGCCATGTAAAGGATGGTTGGGGTCAGCGAGGATTTTCTGGGCAAACCTTTCACATGCGGACAAGTGAAGTTCACGCAGTTTTTTAGATAGCTCATCAACGGGTATAAAAGACACACGACTGATGATCGACAAACAGCGACGAAGAACTTTGAAGTCTTTATTTAGTAGACCAGCAAAAACCACCGGAGAACAGTAAAGAAGTACGGGGAAAACACATTGATAAACAAAAAGTGAAGTGATTTTTTGCTTGACATTGAACTGCCTAAGTCTTCGAAGTTGAAAAGATAATTTGCGAAGTTTCTGTACAGAGGTGTAAATATGGGATGTCCACTTTAAGTTAGTGTCGATTGTAACTCCCAGATACTTCACAGATTCAAATCTAGTTAGGGGAACCGTATTTATGACAGACGAATCACAAGGATAAACAGATCGAGAAAGGGAGAAAGTGCATTCGAAGCACTTGGATAAATTAAGAGACAGTCCAGAACGAACGGAAAATTCATGAATATGCAATAGATTATTCGAGAAATGTAAAAGGTCC